CCAAGTCTGCGGAGGGCCAGTTGCAAGCACCCATCTGGAAGCTCCAATTTTGTCAGGAATTCGGAATTCCCGAAGAAGTCATTGGTCCTTGGACGTGCTCGTTCGGGCCAATACGAACTTCTCTAGACGTCGCATTTGGGCCAGCATGGATGCACTGCGGTAATCAGATGTATTTAAGAATGCTCTGGAAGCATGGACGTAACCAACTGGCAATCCATGCATGCTCTGGAGTCATAGATTCCTTGGTTCCATGAACGCAATTATCTGTTGTCAGCATGGATGGTGTAGCATGCAGGTCTAGCACACTCGTTTCTGACCTTCAGGTTCTAGATCGCCGCGTTTCGCGCCAGCTTCTGATGCGCGCTGTTCGCTTGTGTGCGTTGATCTCTGATTCGCACCGGCTTCTGCTTCATCGTGGTTTCCGATTCGTCGTTGTTTCGATCGCGCTGGCGGTTTCCGTTTCGGATTCGCTGGCTTCCGCCTCGCAATTTCTGATTCGAGGTGGGTTGCAAAACGCAGCTTCTGAATCATAATTAATTTCTGGTTCGTGGCTTCTTTTGCTTGATGCAATTTCTAATTTTGCTAGAGTCTCCAAACGTGGGACCGGTGCAAATGATCATGCTGGCAAATGGCAGGATTCTTGTTGCAACCACCTAGGCTTACAATGGAAATCCCTATAGCCAACGCAAAGAACCGCATAGTCCTAGAATAATCGCAACTAGCAGAATCCCTACAGGAAAAGTCAATGGTACAAAGAAGTATGTTCGTCAAATGGTTTGTTGGCTCCTCCAGGCACAAGAGGCTCTGTGGCAGCGCGCCCGCCTCAGTCACACGCGCACAAAGCCTCATGTAACGATGCCGACAGTTTGAATCCAAATCTCAGTCAACGCCTCGGCCCCCGCCTGCGCGCCTGCTTCCCCAACCAAGCCAGATGGAATCCAATTCAGCAAGATGGAGACACGTCCCGCGATAGCCGTGAAATCAAATAATAGCAGGATTATTGTCACTGGCCATCTTTTATCTTTTCGTGACTGCCATAGATTCATGGCAAACGATGTGTGGCTATCTTACTTTCTGTTTCAGGTCTTTGTGGGTTTGGGGGGGTGTCCAAGTACATGGACCCTACTCCTGTCGCGGAGCACAACATGCCAAGTATCTTGGACATTCATGGGCCCGGCTATGCATACAGAACAAGGCTGGTGGTAAGAGAAAATCAGAGTTGAGTGAGGCATGGCCGGAGCACCCAGCCGGAGCAAAGTCAAGCGTTGCGTTCTGCATGTCGAAATTGTCACAGCAAGTGTTACTCAAGGATCGAGCCCGCTGCTGCTACACATCCCAATGCCAGGCCGTTTCTTTGCCATCGCACCTGTGCAGACGCTCTGGGTCTAAACACATGGACCTGAGCCATCAAATCTTGAGGATCCGCGCCCGACGAAATCCAAATCGGCAGAACCTTGGCAATCAACCCTAATGGAACATTTGGAGCCAAACTCCATTTGGCTGAATTCACTATGCATGCCAAGCTGATACAAGACCCATTGTTTCCTGTCAGATGCTGTCAGCCGAGGAAGACAAGTGTGTGAGAGCAGGCAAAAAGACGCTGGGTTTGATACTCACACCTGGTACTTTGATTCCTTGCAGACGTGAATGGCCAAAATGCTTCCAACGCGCGCAGCCAAGCAATCCAACAAAGTAAGATACCTTTAGCGGGTACTCACATCACCCTTGTATACCTGATCAAATTCTGACTGCTTCATAGCGCACTGCGTGCATTACAGCTCACAACTCCCAGAACACATGACTTTGCGCAGAACATACCAGCATGGCTCTTCGCGGTTGGCACAGTTCACTCCAAATTCAACCTACGGGTGTCAACTGCTTGTCAGACCCATCTTGGCAGACACCTGGCAGACTTGCCCCGTTCTGTGCTGATTTTCCCTGTCAATGCCTTCAGAAGCACTTTCAAGTTTTGCCCTGCCAGGCCCCAGATATTTTGTGCACTGGTAGGCATTCTGCAGCAGAATACGCCAAATTGTAGCTTCTAAACCGACAGTCAGCTATAGATTTTGCGCAAGCTCCCTGTGGGCCCGGGCCCTCGCATGGACGACTTGAAGTCAACGCCGTGCAGAGGGTCAGACTGCTACAAACAGCCTTTGCTCATCATGCTTGAAATTTTCATTGATGTAAATATTGCAGCATGCTTGGAGGATTTTGGGCCAATGAAGAGTGCCTCTCTATATAGCTGTGCCTCAGCAGACTCATGCTCCAGCCTGACACTCCCGCGCGAGGCTGGCAGTTGCATCAAGTTTGATGTAGCATCAACATGCGTCACGCTGAGCAGCGGCCTGCACCCCTGTTTTCAAAGGCAGCTGCACGAGTCTGCACAATGCACAATGCTGGATGCTCCAAGAGCCGATGTTTGGAAGGCGGTAGTTGCTGTGCTTGGCACAGCCTCCGCCTCCCTCTTTCGGGGATTGACCACATATCATGGATCCATCACCATTCCTAAGCGCTGCAAGAAATACGCACCAACCCTGTTGCAGGCCAACTATGTCTGGTACAATGCCCGGCTTTCCCGCATCGAATTGCGTGTCAACGGGAAGCATTCGTCAAAAGAGGAACTGAGAAGGATTCCGTGCACAGGGGAGTAGACCCAACCGTGCAATGCACTCTTTGTCCACGTCTTCTGTCCGCTTGAAAATGGTAGCACATGCATTGCAAGACTTATGATGCTGACGGAACTCCCTGATGGGAGCCACAATGAGGTGCTGACAAAAATGATGCCATGCCCTGTCAATGTCTACCCTAGGCGGCCAGAAAGTCTCACGAAATGAAACCTGATAGAAATTAGAGGCGGCACCTGTGCATGGGATACAGCCTCAAGCACAAGACCGTCCTCGTCGGAGACTATTGCGTCAGCCGGGTAGTCCACCCGTTAGAAGCTGATATTTACACCGTGCACAGCATGGTTACGCAGGCTCTTGCTGAACTTCATAGGCGCAGCGAGCAGCTGTAAGACTTCCGTCTTTACAGTCAGCTGTACTGCGCGCTGTCGCCGCTGTACGACTCTGTTGTGTAAATCTGCATATCATCATGTTGAGCAGTAAATGGGCATCAACACTTCCCCGAGCCTTGCTATGCGCAACCACAAGGGCACCAACAGCATCACATTGGCTGGCCTTCGCAAAATCAAGTGCCTTAGTCTCTTGTAGTCGTTCAACCCTCGCAGCCAATGTATAAAAATGATGGCAACGGCGAGGAAGGATCGCCTCCAACGCCTTGAAGAAGATTTGCAGTTCGGTCTTCCACCGAAGGTTATCTGGGACAAAGGACAGGCAGTGCAGCAAGCACTGAGTTGCTGCCTTGCACCACCCTTCTAAGCACACACCTATGAATGGTATATCAGCCATCTTGGAAACTCCTTGCAATGAAGTAAAAGGAGGACAAAACAAGACTTGATACAACTGAGATGATGCATCTTCTCTTTTCGCAGGAGTTTAGACTATGGCTAATATGTTTCCTCATTCCTTGTGAGTCTGGACCGGTTGCGCCCAGTAAATCTACAAAGAATAAATCCAGAACTCTTCGCAACTGTCAGTTTGCGGTGGAAAAAATCTTCGGATCTGCTCGGCCTCCTGCTTGGTGGGAAGTCGCATGTGCGGAACTCCTTGACTTGTGGAGGGATTCCTCAGTCCAGCGTCCGGTGCATTTGCTGGGCCTGAAAAATCTTCTCAAACAGCACTTTCAGTAGGTGAACAGATACAGCGCTTAACTGGACCCCACACGCACTTTGTGTGCGTGTGCTGAGATTCAGTACACTTTCCACAACCCAGGTCTGTGTCAACATCCATGCCTCCCGTCTACAGCTGTCCAGAAGAGCCGTTCAGCGAATCTCAACATGCAAAGCTCTTCCGTCATATCACGAACACCTTACAACTGAGACGCGCACTTACAAAGGCTGCGTTGCTCAACCTACCCCTATGGACTCTAAACCCCGTTCAGTGTTGTAGCAGTAGTGTTGGCCCTGGTACGCCAGGACCGCTGGGTCGCTTGTGCTCCTGTGCGTTGGCGCAACCTGAGCGCCACGACAAGGGGGAGCATCTGGAATAGGCTGCAGGACGTGTCAGGAAGTAATTCCAAAGCAATCCTACTAGTGAAGCCTGTGAGACTTGTAAACTTGCAGATTGCCACATATTGAACTGCTTTCTTGTCCGAGAGTGTGTTTCAACAGGACTGCGTAGCCTAGCCTTCTGCGAAGGATCCGCCGCATCACCGTCGTCTGGGTTCGAGCCATCCTATAGTGTGCAACAACAAACTCAGGGCATAGTGGTGTTTGCTTTGTCATCCATGAAAGGCCCCTTTGCCTGATCATTCAGTCTGATCCATCCAGGTTGAGCTGTTTGGAGGCTAACACGCAGCTCTCATCAAATGTGTTCATGGCAGGTCCTCAGAGGTCTCGCCCATCTTTAAAACCTGCAAGCAGCTAGATGGCAAAGCTTGAACGGAGCTCATGCACGGAAATCAGCGCCTTGTCCTTCCCCTTTTCCGTGGTTCGATACAGCGCCTGCAAAAACTCAACGTCCAGCATTTCTATGTTCTGCTGTCTCAAATATTACTTCCTGACGGTGTGTTGTTGGGCCGCTGCAGTGCATGCTTTGGACCGTTTAGGGCAGTTGAGCTTTGCCAACGAACCCTCAACTGCAAAACAAAATCTTCCTGGAATGCCTCAAGTAAACGAAGAACAGAAGGTCCCTGGAGTGAGACCCCTTCTCAGAGAATGTCCACACCTGATAGACTTGTCCTAAACAACTGTCGGCTTTGCTCCAGTGCGCCTCAGCCTGCCTCAGATGGTAGGGGCATTCTAGCAGCCACAGGTCTTTAGAAGCTCAATCAAATGCGGAATGTTTGCGGACGAGCATGATTTTTTCTACTGTAGTCTGCGCGTTCACCGACCATGCGAGATCATGAGAATCCATTCCAAAGGTTGCGGGCAAGGACGATCACTCTGCTTCACGGGGATGCACAAGAACCATGCTGGCGAGACACTGTTCAGCCCACTGCATCAGTGGCCGGGTCACATACTGGCGAATCATTTTACTCACATCTGCTGGCTTCCCATGTTCCTCAATCATTTCCAATGGCACACATGAACAAGCTGCATATGCCAAGGAACGACCAGCGACACGAGGTGCGCATAAGCTCCGCACCAAGACAAGAACATGGCTGGCGTCTCGGGCATCTTCTCGAACAAGAGCAGCATAGTACGCAAGGTTCCTGAGTTGTTGAGAAGCTCAACGTGTCAGCTGCCAGTGCTGCCACTGCGCATGGGAAAGCCTTGAGAGCAAGTGCACATGTTGAGGGCCTTGCTGTGCAAAGCCTTGGATGTAGGACTTGCCGATGGACTTGAATCCACTGATGGCGCCGTCCCGCTGCAGCAAACGTAAGCGCCACTCACACATTGCACAACTTTCTGCATCAACGAAATTCACAATCGCCAAGCCGGAGTGGGAGCGTCCGCGACGCGGCAGATAGAGGAAATTGTAGCGTTTGAACTCAAAGTCTCCACATGCCGCATCCAGGAAGTATTGCACCATTCTCACCGTGTACGTCTTCGAGATGCCTCTCCTGGCAAATGGAAGCTTGCAAGACAAGACTCCATGAGCCACTGGATCACACGGAAAGCGAGAACAGCAGCTCAAGTCAAGCCAAGAATCAAGGCCAAAGTCGTCACCGCTTGCTCGGCGGTCATGGGAAGATCTCTCTTGGGACGCGGCACGGGAGAGGTTTGAACTTCCGACGCAGCTACCACCGCAAGTCTTTGGAAACTGTTAAATGCTCATGAGGCTGTGTACTTGCACAGAGACATGGAATCTTTTTGGACCCTTTGCATGCAACTGGACAGGATTCTGGGAAATATTTGGCAGAATGTCCAGTGTCGCCCTATTGGGAGGTCCCAGAGTCCTCAGTCTCCAGAGCGCACAAGAAGCGATCTGACCATCGACAACAGTCGAGTCGGCGCTCTTGCGCATAGGCTTCACGTACTCAAGGCACTCGGGAAGGGACTGGCTGGGGTTTTGCAATGGTTTGCCCACAAGGAGCCAGGATTTGAAGGGCGAGCAATAAATATATCCTCTTCTCTACCCACGCTGCTGCTTATGTGCCTCTGTGAAGCATAACAAAGTCAGTGGTGTCAAGCATCTGCTGACAAACTTCCCTTCTGGTTGATTCATCGCTACCATTCAGAAGCAACGACTCGCCCGCTCAACACCACAGAAACGAATTGCTTGCAAATTCTACTCAGCGCAGATGACATGCTATGAACGTAGCTTTGCGAGGATGGGGTGTTGATGTTCTTGTTTGCACATACAACATATACAACAACCCTACACGTTTATAGGGTTCCTCTGGGATTCTACAGGGATCGTTTTGAGGGGTGCCTACAGGAATTGTTACGAGGACTTTGACATCAGCCTTGCCTCACTGCTGGAGGGTATCCAGCACCTCCTGGTCTGGACCTCGGGGCGCCAGAAATGCTTTGGGTGGTACTGTTGAGCAAGCAGGACCTCCGAGATTTTTTGCTCAATGTGACAGTAAGTGGGCCTTCCAGAGCTTGAACTCATGATGAGCTGGCCAGGTATGCAAAGCAAATGTTGCGTTTACACCTTTCAGCCCTTGTCTGAGCCTTGTCCGTTTTGGCCTTACGCTACTCAAAGATGCGGCCGCAGCGACTGCAAGGACAAAGGCGGCTGCATAGTTGTCTGAACAGGCCTGCAATTTGTGGGATGGACAGCGTCAGCTCCTTTATTGCTGAGGACTGGAGATCATTTCGGCATCTAAACAAGCATGTCTTTGCAATGAGGGCCACACGATCGCCGCACAAAATCTAGAAACATCTACAGCCCTATGTCGACGGTGAATCCCAAGCAGTCGTGACGGGTTTATCAATCCCCAATGACAACATGGAACCCCAGTCACGACTTTGTGAACTACAAGAAACGTTGTCTGGCTTCCATCATATGAAGGGAATCACCAAATCCAGTCGCTCATGACTACAGGAAAGTGAGTTGAAGTTTCTGCCTCAAACGCAGATGCAACGAACATTTCAGAAAGATGGCTGAAGCAAGCCGCCTGCTGACAGCTGGCGCAGCCGTGACAGCAGGCACCTCCATGCGAGAATTGCTAGCCCACGCCCAAAATGCTTTAGCAATGTACCAGGCTACAACTCGAGCAGGCGACAACAGGTGCTGCTGTGTGACATTCTCATGCAGCATGTCTCATCTCAAAATACCTACCTACCTTTGAACACTTACCTTTGGAGCAACCGCAGCAAAAGCGGTCCACTGTTTGTTACTTGCACTTTCCCAGAAAATCAAGGACGCCTTTTCCCCTCCCGGTCCCAAAGAGAGGGTGTTTCACGAAACAGTTGGTTGAATCTAGCCGACACGCGGAATCTGGAGTTGAGGTTGCAAGCTTGCGTGACAGCCAAATCTACAAACTTGTAGGGTCTAAGGGGTTTTGGGGTCTAGGGTTGCCGGGTCTACGGGTTAGTTTTGGGGTTTGAGGGTTAGGGACTTAAGCCGCTCTGTCACGACATCTGAAGAAGACTGCGCCTGCCCCAAGTTGACAAGTTTTTGCTGTTTTCTGTGGCAACATGTCCGGGAAAGTGGCCGTCATCAGTGTCATCGGCAGTGGTGCGAGTAGAAACAGCCGCACCATCCGCATTCTGGGGAAAATCGACGGTTGTGAGACCGCCCTTCTGCTTCTTCACCCAACTTTTGTGAACACTACCTTAAGTAAATACAGGACCAGATATTGTGGGAAAGGCTAAAAACACCATCAATTCCGATAGGTTTGCACCTCTCCAAAGACTATTTTGCAATACGTACTCAATTTCTTAAATAGATTCTGGCTTCCGCTCTACCGGATTCGCCCAAGAAAAGCTTCGCCCGGATTTACAACTCAAAATGCGGGTACAGTGCTCCAACTTTTGCCAAAAAAAAACGTATTTCTGCATCGCCATTGTAGAATCCCCTGGAAGAACATACATTCACCAAGTTGTTCTGTTTGATACCTGTGGGAGGCTTTCGCACGAATTCTTCTGAACCAGAACCCGCGCGCGTGTCCTTAGGTTGCAATCCTACGAGTAAAACGAACACTTTGATTTTTCTGTTGATTCCCCATGATTGGAGTAATACCACTAAATGCTAAGCCCGAACTCGCAGTTTCCATTTTCTTTTCCCTTGTTTTACATAACCATGTAGTCCCCATTTAGTTGCCACCTCATGTTCGATTTCATGTCCATTTGATTCTCCCTTCTAGTAGCGTCCATTTTCGTGTCCATGGTCTCCTCTCTAGGCAGCAGCTCTAAGCCTTCTGAGGTAGGTCGACTCCGCGCTCGCAGAGGCTCGCCACAGCCTGGTCAGAAGCCGAATAGGAACTGCAGAATATCAATAGGAGGAGACACTGTACGGAGAGTGGAAAAGAGCATGTACCAGTAAAATATGATTTCGGGGAGAATGGAAAAGAGAATGGAAACGATGATTTAGCGTTTGGGGTTTACAGCTCTCATGCAGCTCTCGTGCTGGCAAGAGTATCAGTACATGCAGTTACAGTAAGACCAGCTTCTCTCCCACTCCTGCTACCACAAGAGCCGGGACTCAAAATTTCAGAGTTTTGAGTCCCGCAAGTTGCACACTGTGGTACATCGGCAGCCAGGATATGGAATCATGGCTTGTTTGAGTGATCAGGCCTAGGAGTCATGGCTACCAAAAGGACAGGAGTCATAATGACCAGCCTTGACCCAACGGCGTCTGAATGGAGACCTAGATCATCAACCCCTATATCCCTGAAGCTTCCAACCAATTAGAAGTCCTGAGCCCTGCAACCCCAAATTCCTGCAGCCCCAAATCCATATGGTAGAAACCCTAAACATCTGAAATATGATGTCTGATTGCGCTTAAACGGCACTAGGAACTCGCAAATCAGTCACAGCAACAACTTACGTAACAATTCCTTTGAAATTTGGAGCTTGAAAGTACGATCAGAATTGTTATATCACGTCAACTGGTGAATAAAATCTGTTGAATCTCTACTTTAGAGACCAGATGAGTCCCTGAGCAGATCGCGCAAATAAGAGGAGATCCCAAGAGGATCTCAATAAAGGATTCGAGGTCCAGTTTCAGAGGCTGTCATGTTCCTTTCACTACGCATTACAATAGGCAGGGAAACGCGGTTCAAAGGGTGCCTTTACTTCAATGGAGATCTCATGATCCATGTGAAGTTGGAAATGTCTCACAGTTCTGTTTCTGAGCCCAGGAGGGAATAAAAAACAACTAGATTCAAGTCTGTTGCTTTCATCGTTGGAATGGTTGACTAATGGATCAAGATGGAGTCGATGCCCTGTTGACTTTGAATCAAAGTGACACTTCGGTTGCAGCATGGAGCAGTTTGCTTCGGAGAAAGCACGATTTGCTGATGAAATCAATCCCGTACTGAGATAGAATCATGTTTCGGGTGGCTGTTGTGGAAGGCATCGGATCCAGAGAACAGTGCACAGCTCGTTCACCAGTGTGTTTCCAAGGCTAAGGTGCTCAACAGGGGGCTACTGTCATAGTTTCATGTCCGGACAACAAGAGCTGCGATTGAGGGAGACAATCTATGGCCTTCGTGCATTGTAAAACAGCAGGATCTTTTTTCTCCGCTGCCAGTCCAAGGCCAAAATAAGTATGAGTAGGCATGCTCTCGCTGAACCCTCAAACCGTCGTCACCGTGGGAGTTTCAGGCTGAGCATAGCCTTTTCTGACAAAGCGCATGCAAGACCATGGTACAACAAAACATAAAAGTCCTTACTACTACCACCATCCCAAACATCTTGTGTCGTGAAGTCATTGCAAGCATGTTACAAAACTGAATTCACGGGTTTCATCCCGAGTGTTCTGCGGCAAATGATCTGTACCGCAGCCCTGAGCCTCCCAGCATCCCAAACTGGGCCCATGCCCTGGAACTGGGATGGATGACTGGAAGCTGACAAAAGGCTGGGAACCGGAAATCGAAGAAACATTTAAGAAACATTTAGCACACATCCTGATGCGGCCGGATTCTCTGGGTGTCAAGCCGCTCAATGCCGCTCAGCCCATGTATAACACACACAGGTGGTTCTGGACACAACGACACCGTGCTCTTTTGCTACGTGGAACCCAACTGGGGGATGACTAGCATCTTTCTTAAGAGTGACAGGTCTCGTTGCGACATTCTGAGGGGAGTTCCTGTACAAGCACAAACGTCCCGGCAGCACGATTTCCAAACACGAATGACCTCCAACACCTCGTTTGCAATCAAAACCTAGCTCCATGAAGTGCGTGTGTGGTAAGGTGCTGACAGGCTTGTGCAGCTGCTGAGACCTCTTAAGTCTCCCAAAGTCTGCTAAGTTATGCAAGTCCAGCTATGGAATCGAATGCAGGCCCCAGAAGAAGCCAGGGATGTTGGTGGCGTGCCACTCACTGGCGCTCACCATGATGGAAAACACACCAGGCTTCACAAAGCCCGGCGATTGCCCTGGCTCCAAAACTGGGACCCCGCTGGCAAAACTGGCATTGAATAAAAGTTAAATGGCGCTCGGGCGATTTGCTGTTGAGATAGGGCGTCTCCCCCACAGCGGCGCCTCCCCCATAGCGGCCAAGTTTGGTATGCGATATCAGTCCCGCGCACCACACGGAAAGCACACGACGGCTCTCTCGGACTAAAACGTGATTTCCGCGGCTGGCATCGCCCTGTGACGTTCTCAATTCGCAGTTGCAGTTCCCGTTGCAGCCAGCATCCCGGAACGCACCATCACCAGCTCCCGATCCAGGTTTGCAAGGAAGGCTGCATCTGCCTCGCAACATGTTAGCTTTCAGGAAAAAAATGCGCAATGCGGTCCTCTCCTGACTCTGCACCACGAGCTCGATCAGACGGGCCACAGTGAGCCTGGGAGGGTTTGGAATAGAGAGATACATCGTGTAGTGTCCAGGGCCTCTTCAAGATGACGCGGAGGAAGTTGCCTGCTGCTAGAGCCAGTCTCTGTAGCAGTCTAAACATGCAAACCATGTGCCGCCCGGCAAAGCCAAGTTGCTCTTGCTGCGTGGAACACTCGCCACTGGCTCCTGTGCCAACTTCTGGCGGAGCAACGAAATCACCGCTGCCATCCGATCGGCAATGCCCTTGCGAACGCAATCGCATCATTGCTTCACTAGGTCACTAGGACACTAGGACAGCTGTTGTCAAGCCTGGTCTTCAGATCGCGACACGATGTAGGGAGTCAGCAGCGAAAGCACCTGCAAAATGCAAGCAAAGGCCATGGCAGCGGGCGACGCATCGCAGCATTTGAATGGGGTGTCTATCATTCAAGGGCGGCTTTTTCCGCTTATAGTCTCGTTAATTGCAGAAGCCTGGCACGCTCACAAGTCCATGACAGTGCGGACGAATGCTGTCAATAGGGAAATCGGTGCCCACGAGGCATGCTTTCTCGGCTACAAGATAAATCTGGCTTCTAATGCAATGCATTCAGGTCATATTGACTCCCATAAGGTGGAGGCCTCAACTATAAGTTTGAAGTCTTTCCTCACGATATGAGTTTGGCGCGAGTCCGAGGCTGTGAGGGATTCGGGCCAGTTTCAATGGTCCATCAAGCGGATGTCCTGGCCGTTTACGCTTTACACTGTGCAGTCGCGTAAAATCAAGCAAGTAAAGATTGTATAAGGTAAGGGGGCAATTCTAAAGGGTAATATGTCGGCCTTGAACCCTAGAATAAGGCCAAAACGTTGTTCCGTTTCAGGTGGTGTCTGGCATGCTCTAAGTTGCGCTGCACGCTTGCATGGCGCTCATGATCTTGTGGAAAATGCCTGCAGCCATTTCCCGGTTGGCTTTGGCTTCTATCATTCTATGATGATTGCTTCTTCCATATTGCTGTCTTGTCTTGGTGGTTCGTTCATCCTGTTGCTGCTCTTCTCACTGAAAGTCGGTCAATGTCCACTTCTTGCCAGGAATTGCCAAACCCAAAGAGCAACATGTGCAGCTCGGCGGTGTTCAGCGACACTGAGTGTCATGCGGATTCCAACTGCCGGCCACGTGTGCAGCCGACGTGTCATCCCCATCATTCCTGCCTGCTGATCACTCAGGCTGTCGAAGCAATGCCGCTGCCTCTTGTCCAGCTTTCCCTTAGGCCTGGCAACGTAATGGAAGTTTCAGCATGGAAGCACGGGTCATGTTCACGCCTTGTGTGTTCCAAATGGCAGAATTGGCAAGCAGCTCCCTGCTGGCAGGTGCCATGCATGAATCGCACGCAGGGGCGGCCGCACACCTGGCATCTGAGCTGATCCATGGACCTCGAATCTAATCGCAGGGATAGCGCGCCTCCGGGTGGGCCAAGCTGCCATCGTTCACACTTGAGGCCGCTGGGGCCTGTGCCTCTGCATCCTCCACCTTTTCATCCTCAGGCCCCAAAGGGAATGAGGCTGCACGCCTCTGCAGAAGCTTGCTCACATACCTTGACTCGGCATCCTCCTGGGAAGGCACAGACGGTGATTGGATTGTAAAGGCTTCAGGTGAGAAAATGTGCCGGGGGACGGGGGCAATCTCCAGGCGAGGAGGCACACTCCGGGTGCGACGGGAGCCATCCTCCACATCCTGAAGCAGCAGAGCTGTACAAAAGCGTTTGCTTCTCAATTCCTCTATCGGCTCCTGGACCGAGATGAAGGTAGAGCGGTACCTGTCTCGGTCTCAATTGAACAGAAGTTGATCCTCTCGAATTTCCAACGTTGCTGCCCAGGTGCATGAGCTTCTTTGGCATTCTGACAGGCAAGACCCGCAGGGCAGATCGTCACTTCTGATATTCAAACGTTGAGCCAAAGCCCTGCCAGTTTGAAACGTAAACGCCAGCAGCAAAGATCTACGTGTGCAAATGTTTCTGGGAGGCTTTGCTCTGACGTCAGCTAGCACACAGCTTCCTTCCAGACCACCAGTCCAGCACACTCCAGGGCCTCTTCGAGGCTCGCGAGGCCCTCTGCATGAAGATCCAGCTCAGCCCGAGCACTGGCCGGAAGAACAGGAGCACCATGAGATAAGCAGGTGATCACTACTCCTTCACTACTTCTGGTGAGAATAGCATTTGTGGTAACAGTAGTGAAGGGGGAGCTGCAACAGTAGCGTGGTTTACATGGTCGCAGTGCCAATCATACAAAAGGTACTACGGAACGGCAGAGCGTCTGGAACGCATGTCCAAGATGTGCGCAGAATCTTGAAGGCATCCCAGGCCATCTCTGAGGCCTTCTGCTCTCCCTTTCGATGGGTTAGACAAACAAGCTACCATGGTCGTCAACTTGACCTGGAACTGTCCGAGGCTAAAAGTACACAACATAGGGAGTCAACCTAGAAAATGATGCCTAAGACGGAGGGCTTTTCCATGGCACCAATGCATGGGCAGCGCCAAAATGTCTTGATCAGAACCATGCGAAATGGCAGGGCACCTGCCAGCTAGTCCGACGAACTCATCTGGCGGGGATGCGGCGTTGTATTCCTCCTGGCTTATCAGCTGAAGGCCAGAAACCCACCCTCAAGCCCAAGCCGGCAACATCACGTTTAGCATGTAGACGAACCATGTCCACCCTAAACACATGAGTGCAAGCCCACCTGGCGGAAAGCCTCTCTCAGACTTGTGATGGCGGCCTTTGCCGCTGAAAACGTGTTCAGCGCCTGGCTGCAGCGGTGGAACAATTTCGCTATGGGCGTATCAACTCATGGAAACGATGCCAGCACCAAAACTACTTCCGGTACGTGCTTCGCCTGCCCTTGGTCCTACACTGGCCCCGCAGTCGGAGGAAAAGGTGGCAGCACGCAGGGCTGAAAATCAGTCTAGTACTGGCAGGGATCCATTGCTCAGCAATTGGAAGGAGTTGCTGACAATCTCTAGCTGTATTCATGCTCAACTCCTGCAGTTAACTTGCCACCGCAGCACTCCCCACGTGCCCTGCTCTTCTCACCAAGAGCTCCAGCCCTTGCAAAAGCACTACAGCAAGTACTAGTTACTAGAGCTGACATAAACATAGCTGTTCTTGCTGCCACCGCTGCTGATGCTGAGGCATTTGAACATTGAAAGGCTTTGAAAGGTGTCGCTTTCATCCCAGGCCAGGTTCTGGTCGCCCTCAGCCTTGCTTGAAGTTACAAATCTCCCTGGCTAAAGCGCTCGAGCAACCTTTTCTTGTTGCAGTTTGCCAATACACTTCCTCTTGCTACAGTAGGAAGGAGGAAGGGCTATGCGCATGGCTTGACTTACACCCTGCAAAACCAATGGTGAAACACCTGAAGCCACTGAATGCCTAACAGATCATAATCAGCTCAAAGCTAGCAGCGAGGGCCAGTGCCCTCTGCCCTCCCCAGAGTGTAGATCTTGAAGCCTCTACAGCATCGCCATCGTTGCGGCAGCGAGCCCGGAGATTCTCCTGCAATAGAACATGAGCCTGAAATTACATGGGGTGCTATCCAGTTCATAGTGATCTTTCGCAGCTTCGTAGCACATGGCTTGCTCATGTGACTTCTGGTGAGAAGTGTGTGATTTGAAGTTTTAAAGTCCTGGAGCTTCCGGAGCTCACTGAGCCGGCTGCCATACTCGGCGTGTCCTGGCCAGAAACATTGCTTTTGAGCTCACGGTGCATCACGGTGCACTGTGAGCAGATGTGAGCAGCTCAAAAGATGATTAATGTGAGCACCCGAAACTCAAACCATGCACATCCCAAGTGATCCAAATGCAAAGCGCTTCCTGTGTCAAGGCTGGACAAAGAGCCGCTCTCATAGGCGTCCAAAGACCTCGAGACTCCGCTCAAAGGCACAAGGGCCACGGCAACAGCTAACAAGACCTGGAAAGGCACAGTCCTAATCATGTTTGCCACAGAAACCAAAGTTCCTAGAATAATCTTCGCCACTTGACTCGGTGGTCAAACCTGGCGTCCATGTGTCGCTCTTCTCTCAATGCTGGAATTAGTCCACATTACTCACATTGAGCCAAGCAAGCCACTCCAGCAGCTCTGCTTCTCTTTCATTTAGTTGAGCTCGGACCTTGCAGGCCATCAATGGACGACTACTTGATGCATCAGCAGAAGGCCCCTGGTGGGGCAGTGAATCAACTGCGCCATTCTGGGAAACTAGCTGTCAGGTTGTCGTCAATACAAGATATGGCGCTGCCATCCACTACACGGAACGACAAGCACCCAGCTCTTGCAAAGGCGCTGCGCACGCTTGCCCGTCCGCGAGCTGCGGCCCGCTCGATGTCCTGCGTAAGAGGGCATTTCCTACGACTTTAGCGAGCCTCTACATCGTCAAAGTGCCTTGAAAGCCATAGCGCAGGACTTGCACCCCGTGTACGGCACGTGATACAGCTGAAGTTGGACATTAAAAAAGGCATTTCAGCAAGCTGGCACATCATGATTTGCTGCCACAAGCACCGCTACTTGACCACAAGCCTTGATACATATCTCTCTTCCACTGTGCTTCCTACTTGAGCCTCATCTGTGGGTATAACCTAGAAACGAGAAATGAAAGTAGACCCCACAACCGACTTATCTCGGTGCCCTGAAAGCAGCTTCCAGTTTGACAGCAAGAGTCATGTCAGGAGCTCATAATCCCCTGTGGCCAGCCTTTCTTCGCCATGCCAGCCGGTCTCCCACCATGGAGAAGTCATCCTGATAATAGCTGATACGATGCATCTGACTCAGTCTTGCTGGCACAGCAAATGTCACCAAACTTGTCTGCTTAAGCGTGAAACCTCAGTGCCTTGCTTCTCGCACATCCTCAACTCCTAGTTCATTGCAGACGAAAACCCTGAACCAGTAGCCCTCCCATCCTTGACTAGTTGACTTCGAGATCCTTCAACCGAAAGTGCGGGCCTCAAGGGCGATGGCCTCATCGAGCAGCGCCCCCGCTCTGGACTTCAGAACCTTATTGCAGCTGCAATAATTTTGCAAGATTTTGATACAGCGAGAATGACAACAACTGCTCCTCCACCACCGCAGCATAGACCACCACCACCACCACCACCA